AGTCGTTCGGCCGAGGATCGCTTACCACCACTACCATCCTCGTTACCACCGGCTCCGCCGGCTAATCAGGCTAAAGTTATACCTCCTCCGCCTCGAACACCTTCACCTCCTCAGCTACCTCCTTCTCCTCCCCCTCGATCTCCTTCACCCGCGTTTTCGAACGCACTTACAGAGAGAATCTTTCCCGATACTCCTCCACAATCATCCAAATCATCCCACCCAATTTCCCCCAGAGGAATTCCGTCCCCGACGAACTCCACGGACAGCGTGGAGTTCTTAGAGGAAATTCCTCCACCCCCACCTAGATCCTACTTCCGCATCTTAGACAGTGACACTCTCGAGTCACTCATCACCCAATTCCCGCGGACTACTACAGCATCCATCCCTCAAGGGACCTATACAATCGACCCTCATTACTTCGATCCTAAAGAAATCCGTAATGCCATCACCGGCCAAACCTCAACATCCTGTATCCCTGTATTCCTCCCGAATTTTTCGCCAATCCATTCCTAGTTCCAGTGGGATTCTTTTATAATCTTTTCCCTCCTTCCTCCGTTTCCATCCTTAAAATATGTTAAGCCAAACCTAGCCGATTCCCCCTCTAACATAGTCACATACAATGTATAGCCATTATAGTAAAATAGACAATACTGTAGCCGTTATAAAATAGTAACGTTAGCAATGTATAAACTAGATGTAATAAAATCATATTATTAATTATTCCTCTCGCTCTCGTCATTTACTTTTAAAACCCGCCTAATAAAACCTCGTAATCACTAACCCTTTGCCTTTTCAAAGCTCGCACGTGGTCCATTCCCGAGTTAAAGGGATTTTCCCTGACTCGAAATTCGGACCGACGATCGCATCGCCCGTAGGGAACAGGTGTCATAGCGTCTTTACGAGACGTTGACTCATATTCCGAAGCGGGCAAAAAGGGTGCGTTCGACTCGCACTGTTTGCTTCCGGGCAAGTACCTGCGAGACTAGAGTCTGACCGTCCTTCCACGCTTCATCCTTTCTACTCCCTTCTCTCTCTAAATCCATTTTTCCGGAATTTGGACGTAACAAATAAATATTTATGTTTTTCTTGTTTTTATGATTTATATAATAAAAAAATCGGTTGTAAATGCGTATAGCACCACTTGTTTTTTTCCAAAACACATATATAAATATTAGGGGTATATACATTATATATATATATATATATATATATTAGATATATATATATTATATATATATATATCTTTTTTATATATATATATACATCTGTATTACAAATCAAACTAAGACTCCTTATAATTCAAAGAACTGGAAAGGATACGAACAGTAGGAGTCAAGCGCAGAAGACATATTCCACGAACATAAATTTTAATGATAGATGAAAGTAAAATAAATTATGATTGGAAACGAGACCGTTTATGTTAAATTACATTACTTAAGATACAAAGCGCCACTCCGGTTTGAATGTTAAGATGTTGAACTACAATACTATATATTATATATTCATTCAAAATGATTTAATTTCAGAAATAATAATTGCGTGCCGATATGGTTATTGAACTTTCAACGCAATCAATCTGAAGTATTAATAATTCCCCAAAAAATTTTCCAAATCTTAAAAAACTGCAATAAACTTATTGCGAAAAATATTGCCTCGGCCGGGAGTCGAATCTCTTGCATTCCGTGCGAGCGTCTTAAACCTTTAGACTACCAAGACCTTAGCAACATTCTTCGCAATAATCGACATGTATAGAGAGTTACGCATTGTAGGTGAGCGCGTATAAACAATATGATTGGAAACGAGACTGTTTATGTTAAAATACATTACTTAAGATACGAAGCGCCACTCCGGTTTGAATGTTAAAATGTTGAACTACTATATATTATATATTCATTTAAAATGAATTAACATATCGGTTATTGCGAAGAATGTTGCTAAGGTCTCGGTAGTATAAGATTTAGGACGCTCGCACGGAATGCAAGAGATCAGGGTTCGACTCCCGGCCGAGGCAATATTTTTCGCAATAAATTTATTGCAGTTTTTTAAGATTTGGGAAATTTTGGGGAATTATTAATACTTCAGATTGATTGCGTTGAAAGTCCGACAATCATATCGACACGCAATTATTATTTCTGAAATTAAATCATTTTGAATGAATATATAATATATAGTAGTTCAACATCTTAACATTCAAACCGGAGTGGCGCTTCGTATCTTAAGTAAAAAAAAATTAATTACTCTTTTTTATATCTGTATTTATTTTTGAATGTCTTTTCATAAATCATCATACATGCGAGAAACTTCTTGAAAATGTTGCACGTGATGGTATTTCATATCACGATTCAGCAATATTGAGTAACGACCGAAATCTGACATCAGTGACTATACTATAAAGTTGTAAATTCAGTGCTATCATTCGTGCTATCACTTCTGTAAGTTGTTTCGCTCGCATTAAATTTTATGTAAATATTGTATGTTCCGATTACTACTCTGTGACGGTTGTTCCATCATCAAACTTGTAATTATTCTTTCATTATGTTTTGAAGTTAAATATCGTAAAAGGCAACTCATATTGCTATATTTTATTCGAAATTCTTGACACAAATAGATTATTTCGCTTTATATTGACTTATTTTTATAAAATGCTGCCAGACGAAACTTTTATTTCATCATTGCCTTTCTAAAGACACATTTTCACTGTTTGCGTGTCTCGAATTATTATTATCTTCATCTTCTACATTAATATGAGACATTTTAATTTCATACTTAATTCAATCACTCTATACAATATGTATTCGACGATAGTTTCCAACCTACTAAATAATATCATATGATGTGTCATATCAGTTATGTGTATTACACAGTTCTATGTATTCTTTGATTCTGTAATGTTTACAAGCAGGAATGTGCCACAATCTATATAAAACTGTGTTCACATAGAAATATATTTCATATTTGTGAGGAAGAGAGAGATGAAAGTAGTAATAACTCGACACATGTAAACAGTGAAAATGTGTCTTTAAAAAGACAATAACGAAATAAAAGTTTTATTTGGCAGCATTTTATAACAATAAATCAACACAAAGCGAAATATTGTACTTTAATTTGAAATA